CTTAGTTCAAACCATTTTAGATGTTGCAGTGAACTAATCAATTTTATTAACTGAGTAATGATTTTATTCTCATGTTAAAAGCTGTGCAGAGTTTATGCATTTTTCTGATTTCTGCTTTTGAATGAGCAAGTGTGTGCGTTTACAAGGTTACAGTCAAACGAAAGACAAGTTGTTATGTTAAAGCTGTCATGTTTTAGAATCCTCTCAGACGTAAATAGAGATGTTTTGCACCTGTTTCTTAAGGCACGCCAAAACAGAACCCTCTCGGTCTGTGAGAACATTTCTGAGCTGTCTCATAACAATTCTCGCTGTCTCTAACCTCTTACGTCACAAAAACACACCCCTTCTGGTCGTTTCTGACCAATGAAAAATCCCAAAAAGTGAACCGGGAAAGAGTCTTTAAAATGTCAGTACTTCCTGGTCTACACAGACTCACAGGGACACGGAGAGACTCACAGGTACCCAGAGTGACTTACGACTCACGGAGTTACAGAGTTCTGGAGTTCTGATGGAGTGCTGTTGGAGTTCCTGACATGACAACGAAGCTCTTCCGAGTTCCATGGGATTATAACATTTTCCACTGAGGTGAATGTGTGTCGAACAGAGCCACTCCACTACTTCTGACGGGCAACAGCCATTCTAAGGAGACGCTGGACCGGTAGCGTTAACGGAACACCATATCTGCTGATTATCATCAGAGAGGTAATGGGTCAAGTTTCCTACCAAGCGTACCGAGGCGAGCTGGGCTTCTGATGGAGAGTGTCGGTTCTGGAAAACACTTAATTTCCCTCACACACCATCCTTTACTCCCTTTAAACTTCTTTCCATCTTTAAACTTTCCTATGAAGTAGAAATTCTCCCAGATATTTAGAAATGTCTGTGTAAAGTGCTTATTCACATCCGTGTGGGTAAAAGTCATAGTTGTACAGTTTTATACATGTCTGTGGTGCAGCAACGGAGAAATCATGGCCGTATGATTTTTCCTGATTGATTGCTTATATTGTTATTTTCATAATTTGCCAAATTAATGTAAATGTTTGATGTTAAATTTGATTCTGTAAATAAATGACCGCATTCATTTTGATGGGTCAAATTTAAATGACGTCTCACTTTGCATTTCCTTAAATTCAGTGCACGTTTTATTCAGTCCAGAAAAATGAGGAACTCGCGTTAAATGATGAATATATCCCAGCATCTGTTCATCTACATAGTTATTAGCAAGAAAATGTCTAAGTTTATTTTGGGCAGATGACCTCAGAAAAAACAAAACATCTAAGTTAATTTCAATGACTTGACAGGCAGTTTCAGAGGGAATGTTTTAATGGTAGATCATTTCCACAGAACGACAGTTAAAACTTTGCTCAGCCTTTGTCAACAGTTCTCCCAAAAGATAAGTTGGATTTAAACAAATGTTTTGCACCTTCCTACAGTTCATGTAACACTTTTCCGTGTAAGAAAATACAGCATTTCAAAACATGTTTGGCAACACAGAAGCAAACTCAGTGTCTTCAAGTTCTTGTTTAGTTTTTTTGTTTGCTGACACATGGATCCCTCCAGCCCCTCAACTTTTTTTCATTGTTTATACTAAAATAACCCAGAATGTTAACAGTCTATACAGCTAAGGGGCATAATTAATTTTTTTTTGGGGGGGGGGGGGGG